GGAGCCTGGCAAGGATTTCCTTGAGTCCTGCTGGCAGCATCAGCCAAGTGTGTCCTGGTGAGGGCTGCGGCACATAGTTTATGGTTGCAATTACTGAGCCAGCTTCTTAAGCATCCATGGTACCTCCAGTTATGGGAAAAGTTGGGGAGGTCAACAATAATAAGTGTTTGCATTTTCAGGGTCCTGGGAATCCATAAAGATCACTGGAGTATATTATTTCACTCCTACTCTGCCTTCTTGGCCTTCTTCTCTGATTTAGAACATTCTCAACACAGAGAATAAAATTAAACACAGAATACCAGCTAATACTGGCACATTGGAATAAAAGAGGGGAATAAACCCTTTAAGATAAAATGGAATGCAAACTAGGGCATCATCAATATTTCCATGGTAGATTTGGTGGTTACGGCTTTAGATTTATATAAAAAATGTGTAAATGTTTTAACCAATGAAACTGCAGAAAAATGTACAAAAAATTAGTAAGTGCAATAAAAACAATTAATTTTAGTAGAAATGCTTAAGAGGAAGTTGCAGACTTTATGCCCTGTCACTTCTAAATTTTTCATATGGCAATATTATTTGTTATTTTAATAGATATACTTATTTTTATTTGGGCATGATTATTTTTTCCTGAGTGTATGTATTGAACTATGTACATGCCTAGTGTCCACAAAGGTCAGAAGAGGCATTGAATATCCTGGAACTAAGGGGTATTGGTAGTTATGAGTTTCCATGTGGGTGCTGGGAACTGAATTTGGGTCCTCTGCAAGAGTAACAAGTACTTTTAACCACTGAGTCTTCTCTTAGCCCCAAAGACATTATTTGTAAGAACAATAATACCACAGAGCTGACATGAGGGACCTGGTTACTATTTCATCCTCAGATACAATGAAGGTTTTGCAGCTTCCCAGTTATGCCCAGTTATACCTTCCAGTAAGAAGATCCAGTTGAGGTGTCAGGGTTGTATTTATAATTGTTTCTTTAGTGTCTTTCTACCTAAATAGGTTCTTCATCCTTCATGATTTCCTTGAAAGTTATAGTCGGGTTAACTCATAGCACATCTTAACTTGGGGATTGTTTGAAGTTTCTTCAAATTTATATTTAGAGTCATTGCAATGAGGCTTGGGTCTTCTTAACATGTCCTATCATGTGGCACATGTTTCTGATTTGTTCCTTTTTTGATAATTGCTTGATTATCACAACTTGGTGGTATTTCGCAGATATCTTCTTGGTAGTTACATTTTCTCACACTGTAATGAAGAAGGATTTGGGGAGAATTGCTTTAAAAACAATCTGGTATCCAGTTCTTTGTTGAGTATACTCTTTATTCATTTATGTATTTCTATGTGCAGAGAACTGTGGTTGTCTCTTTTGTTACACTCTACCACTGTGTTAGTTGCTATTTATTATTACGATTAAAAAAGTATGAGTGAAGATAACTTAGAAAACAGTTTGTGTCTGCCTACAGTTTCAGAGGGACAGTCCACAATGATAAGAGAGGCATGGCAGCAGGCAGCTGGAATGGAGAAAAACCTGGAAGTGCAGCTAAAGTATGATCTTTCAAAGCCCTTCCTGATAGTGGATTTCCTTCAGCAAGGTCCAAAAGTTTCATAACCTCCCCAAATAATGCCTCCAACTAAGGACCATATATTCAAATATACAAGCCCCTAGGGAATATTTCATTCAAACCAGCACAATCAACTTCATTATTTATTTTTAATGCATCGATTAGATGCATAAATCATTTCTAACCATGGGAAATGCCTTCAAGCTGGCTCATGTCATGGGTCCTATGCAGTGTCATCATTATTCTTTGGTTGTCCCTTGCTTTATGGTATAGTTATATACTTCAAACTTGTTTTGTGTTCTCCCACCTTACACTAGCCATTCTTTGGGGAATCATAGTTTATTTTAGTGAAAAACTATATTTGGAAGTTAAGAAAGGAACACTATCATTGAACACTGCCTCAGGGGTGTCAATGACTCCAACATTTCTCAGAGAACAGAGATAGATGTGTACACACACACACACACACACACACACACACACACACACACACAATTTACACCATTGTCTATATCTAAATACAGTAGAAGCTGAAATTCACATTGCTAACTAATACCATATGTTATATTTCCTTCCTTCATCTCTCCGTTCATTCCTTCCTTCCTTCCTTCCTTCCTTCCTTCCTTCCTTCCTTCGTTCATGCCTTCTTTCCTTCCCATGTGTATGTTATGTATATGGATCATAGGGTATTCATCATTTATTTTAGTGATCATATTGGATACACACACACACACACACACACACACACACACACACACACACACATGTGCAGGTGAACTCACCACTGTGTGTGTAGAGGTCAGAGATTGACTTCAGTTGTCTTCCAATATTGCTTACTCTCCACCTTATTCTTTGTGACAAGATTTCTTGCTGACCTTGGGCTTGCCATTTGGCTAGACTAGCTGGCAAGTGAGCTGTAGGGATCCACCTGTCTCACCACTCCCTCACCCTGCATCTCTGAAACTGCAGCTCTAGCGTTTGAGCCACCATACTTGTCTTTTGCATGAGTGTAGGAGATCCAAACTCAAGTCCTCATGCTTCTACAGCAGGTGCTTTACCCACTGAGTTATCTCACTGATCCTATACTCTCCATTCACGTTTTGTTTAGCATATTGTAGCTGTATATATTGTGAGGTACAGAATGACATTTCACTACATATATACATTATGTAGTGCTCAGAGTATTGGGTAACTGGCACCTTGAAAACACAATTTATTTATGTTGAGAATACCCAAAATCATCTCCTCTAGCTATTTTGAAATATCCAATTATTTGTCATCAACTATATTTATCCATTTAATCTTTAAAACATCTGATCTAACTGCATTTCAATGAATCATGACACCCTATGATCTACTCTTTCTTATTTTGCACAATTTAGCATATTTCTTCTTCTAGTGAGGAACTTGGCTTTGACTGCTCATAATCAATGTGTTTGTGTCTTTATTCACCTTGTACCTGATCACATCTCAACCTCACAACTGCTTCTCCAGTGCCACCTTATGATTATTTCTCTACTCCCTCTCCCCATATATATGTAATCTTAGTCCAGTGTCTCTCATTATCGAGTCATGCCTCTCCATAGGTGCTCTGTCAGCAGACTCAAGTTCAACACCTTGCTTCAGTGGGCCCCACCATGTGGATCTACCTGAGTCTATGTAGAGTCTACTCATCATGTGGATTCCTTCTGTTTTCTGCTTGGCCTAGGACCTACCTTGGTCATCACCTTAAATAAATTTTGTTCCAAATATGCTCAATCTTACAAATCCTACACCAGGCGTTTCTTCCTCTTTGTTTCATTCTGCTGCCAAATTGAAGTGTTTAAGATGAAGGTGACTGGGCTTGCAAAGGATTAATGTTTACCTGGATTTTTATGCTTCTCTCTTGGGCTCTAGAGTAGTCATAAAGAACTTGACTGCAGGAACTTTCTGGTACATGCTCTGATAGAATGAGAAAGAGCAAGGGAGAGCTGTCCTCCTTAAGACCTCCAACCTTTTCCTTCATTTGATTCTCTCCATTGCAAGGAAAAGGATCCAAGATGTCTATGGATTGCTATCATGTAGTATCTAGTTGAAGTGTGTTTCCACTTCAAACCCTCTTCACTTTAAACCAATGATCAGGCATTATCGGTACATCTTTGCAGACAAGTAAAATATAAGAACATTTACCTTTCATATCTAAGTCCATTATGGGGTGTTCAGAATCAGAACTTGAGTCTTCATATGAATTTTACTCTGTCATATGTGATGGAGGAGACAGAGGAAGTCTTAGAAACCTAGTCATGTGGTGGTGCTTCACAAATGCTCAAATGAGTATTTTGATGACAATGAGATCAGTGTGAAGGAAACATAATAAACTGTGTGGAGGAGATGGAGCTTTTGAGACTTCTAACTGAAGCCTTTTTGGTGAGGGAATATCTTTACTTTCATTCATGAGATGCAGAGGCATTTATTACAGGGTAGGAAAATGTGTTCCAAAGCTCAGAAGTATTCTCTCAGACTTTCAGGGTATTAGGATTTTATCACAAACAAGACAGTCCAGTCTATAGCACATTCACTAGATACCTGACCTCTATTCACATGTCAATTATTTAGCAGTCATTATGACACAGGGAACATTGTTTTCCTTTGCTCATAGGTAAGAGCTTAAGACAGAGGGTTTAATATGCTGTGTTCTAGAACTAGAAAAAAGGAGTAAAGGATAAAATCTTTTGAACCCAGGTTGACTATTTGTTCTACTGATTTGCAGACTCCTCAATGACTGGTAATATCATTTATAGCTGAATGCAATTTTTCATGAAGCTGGTGTAATTAAGCCAATAGATGTAGTGCATAGACATTTCCATTTTCATGTTCTATCATCATTGTTTATTGGGTACTTGTTCTTTCCCTGTACCCCTCCCCCTGCAGCTATTTTTGAGACAAGCTTGCCAACATTAATTCAGAGACTGTAAGATGGAATAAGCAGATATGGGGATTACTGAATGCCACATGACAGGTGTAATAGTGGGAAACATGACTTGAAAGAGCTAATAATACACACACACACACACACACACACACACACATGAGAGAGAGACAGAGAGAGACAGAGAGAGACAGAGACAGAGACAAGACACACACAGAGAGAAATGATGAAGTAAACTAGCCTTGAAATTGCCTGTAGCAATGACTGTGACCAAGGGAAGCTGTTACAGGAAAAAAAAAAAGAAAGACATAAAAATGTTCTTCAGATGCCCAACAAATCTCTGTGAGTTCAAGGCCAACCTGGTCTATATAGTGAGTTCCAAGACAACCAGGGCTCAATTTCCTATGATAACAGTTCCATCTTGTGTTTAAAGACTTTGTCAGGTTCCTTGTCAAGTACACAGAGATATTTTTCTTTTCTTTCTCCTTTCCTTCTTTATTCCCTTTCTTCCTTTCTATTTCTTTTATGGGAAGAGTGTGAATTCAGCCTCCCCCTGCCACAAATCATGCAGTGGAGTTCACCACACTTAGGAAAACCACATTGCACATCCAGAATGCAATGGTTGAGTCTTGGCCCTGGGAAACCCACCTTTGTGATCCTGGTATGGCCCCTGCTGGGTAAACATGACCCTGTCTTTAAAAGAAAATAGTGTCCAAGAAGAACATTGGAGGTCAGTGTCTTGGCAGAATGTCAGTTTCATTGCATATGGTTCAGCTGTGTGAGCTTTCCTGACACTTAGGGAGGCCTGAGCAAGGCTAGGAAAGACACAGGGAAATGCTGAGACACTTAGCATCTAGCTGTTGTGGTAAGCTCCTTATACCCTAGAGTGCAAAGGTCAAGGAAGGGTAATGGTTTTCCCAGAAACAAGTGGGATTGGCTGCCTATAATGAGGATCTTGGATCAGGCAAGTACACTCCAATTATTTTTTTACTTCCCCCTTCTAGCCTCCTGCTAGATCCTTTCATAAGTAAGACCTAAATGAATGTGAGCTGCCACAGGGCCTGTGTAGACCATCCCGTAGGAGTCAGTCACTAGGACACAGTTCAGAGCAGACGGTTAGAGATGGGTGTGAGGTGAGGAGGCAGCTGAAGAACAATATGCTTATCCTGGGAGGCTTCCTGGAAGAGTTACATTTGAATTGATACTGGGGATGCTGGGGAATAATTCTTTTGTGCACTTTGAAGATGTAATGCTCTCATTTTTAATAAAAAAAAACTGATTGGCTGATGGTTCTGCAGGATTTTGAGGGCAGAGAGAATGCTGTGGAGAAGGGTGGAGTCAGAGGAGACACCAAGAAATTCAGAGAGTGCAGGATGGGAAATACGTAGACGAGGTAAATGAGCTTGGGGCAGCATGTAACTTAGTAGAAGTGGGTTAATTTAAGTTATAAGAGCTTGCTAAAAACAAGCTTAAGCTACTGGATAAGCATTTATAATTAATATTAGGTCTCTGTGTGGTTCTTTGGGGAGTGGCTGGCAGGACAGAAAAGTTCGCCTACACCCTGTCTTCTGGATATGAGTGGAAGGGAAGAAGGAGAAGAGAGACCAGACAGATAGAGCATACCCTGTTTAAAAGCATGGCTGAGACGGGAAACTACAATCTGTTTTTTATCAATGTGCTGTGAACTGTGGAGAAGGAGGGGATAGACTATTGCGGTACAAGTGTATCTTCTCACCAGCTTTCTTTCTCAGCTTGACAAGTATATAAATGGATACATGTCAGGGAAGCAAAGCCTGGGGACTGGGGAAGAGATGTAGTGGGTGACATGCTTTCTGTGAGAGTTTGAGTACCTGAGACTGGGTTCCGTGTAGAACTCTGTAAGAAACTGACTGTCATTCAGGACAGCAATCCTGGTGCCTGGCGGATGAGGGAGAGACAGATAGTTGCTGGAGGCTTTCTGGCCAGCCAAACTAGCCAAAAATTAAAAGGGAAGCCTCAAGTTTAGGGAAATACCCAATCTCAAAAGACAAGCTGGAGAGCAAAAGAGGGACACACCTGGCATCAGTCTTTGTCCCCTACCCACCCCCCCGCCCCAGGCATGCATGAGCACACACAGGCATGTACACATACATGCATACATGCACACATGAATGCGTGCACACAGGCATGAAAGCAAGCATCCCAGACTTACTGTTGTGTTCATTACTTTTGTTTAGAAGGGAGCATTTTATTAGCGTGTTCATTCCTTTTTTAAGGAGGGAACTTTTTTATGTGCTCATGGTTTTGGAAGGGTTTAGTCAATCTGGTAAAGAAAGCATGACTCAGCTGCTTAGTTCATGGCAGTGGGCATATGTAGGATTGGCCTTTCATGTCATGGGAGACAAGAAAGAAGGCAAGGGGTGGGGAGAAACAGGGTCCAGGCATAACTTTGTAAGGGCCTCTGATGGGGGATGTTCTCTGTATGCTGTGACTATGTGTTTCTCTTATTGGTTGAAAAATAAAGCTTTTGGGCCAATGGACAGGTAGGATTTAGCCTAGACAGAGGAGACAGGTCTCCTTTTTATAGGACTCCCTTAGAGAACTAATTCTATATGCTGAACTTTGTCTCTTATAGTTCCACTGATTAGCAAAATAGTTCTACCAGGTTGAGGTCAAGCAGTCAAAGCAGGGACCTTCTTGGGACAGTTTAGATTCAGAACAACAATACTGCTCGAAGTCCTGAGTCAGTCTGCAGACTTTCTAAGAGACAACATCTTGGGGTTCAACCTTTAATCCAACAACTTAGGGAGTTCTCCCTCATATACCAAATTGTGCAGTAATGCCTGTTACTCTGCTGTCTGAGTCAGTTGAGGGTACAGCAATGAACTATTATGGGCTGGCTAGCCATTAACACCAAGCATGTTGTTATTGTTCTGGGAACTGAGCAGTCCATGATCTAGGAAATAGCTGATCTGGTGTCTGGAGAGGATATGGTCTCTGCTCCACAGATATTTCATTCTACTAGGTCCTCACATGGTAGAAGGGTCAGAGCACTCTCTAGAATCTCATTTATATAAGGGCAACAATACCACTTATGAAGGTCACACTTGCATGGCCAAATCACACCCCAGAGGCCCCATTTATTAACACTGTCATGTCAGAGTTTAGGATTTCAACCTATGAAGTTCAGGAGGACACATAGATTTGCTCCATCAGGCCCTTCCCTTCTTATCTAGGGTCTTAAGTTATAATTGTCTCAGGACATTGTTGTAGAAAGTCAAGATCTTCTGAGAAGTTCAAACTAAACTCTGAGCACGAAGATCCCATAGGTTTACCTGGGCATGGTAATATAAACCTTCAATCCTAGCTAGGACAGCAGAGGCAGGTGCATCTCTGTGAGTTTGAGGCCAGCCTGGCCTACTTAGTGAGTTCCAGGTCAGCAAATGCTATATGAAATATCTTGTCTCAACAGACCTCAAATCAAACCACCCCCCCCACAAAAAACCATATAGGATTCTATAGCTTTGTATAGTCCTACTATAAAATGCATTAGAGAAGTTCTCCTTATAAACACCAGCTGTAGTTCTATCATTCCACGTCCATGATGAGATCTAATATAGGTCACAACTAGTGCAGAACACATATTGCCCAGCAGAGAAATAACAATTTCTTTTTATTTTTCCACCTGTTCCTTTATCCCAGTGGTGTTCAACTTGTGGGTCACAACCCTTTTGGGGGGTCCAATGACCCATTCACAGAAGTCACCTCAGACCTTCAGAAAACACAGATATTTACATTATGATTCATAATAGTGGCAAAATCACAGTTAGGAAGTAGCAACAAAAATAATTTTTGGTTGGGGGTCACCACAACAGGGGGAACTGTATTAAATGGTCACAGCCTTAGGCAGGTTGAGAACCACTGCTCTATTCATTCTGAGCCTGCCACACCAATGGTCTTTCTTGACTGCTTTCTTTCTGCTGCTTGCCTTCCTACAATCGTTAATGGCTATTCAATTGGAACGAACAATTTCAAGCACATGGCATACATTAATTATGTAACTATCACACCACCCTTTTAAGAAAAGATACTTTCACTATTACTGGTATACAGCTAAGGAAAACCACACACATCTCCAGGTATCTTCTCCCGAGGAAGTGTAGAGCTAGAATTCGATATCATTCTGACCCAGCGTACCCACTGTTCACATTTTACACTGTGTCTTGCACTGTTTTCCACTTGTGGCCACTTCACTAGCCTGCTTTTCTTCCTTCTAGGATTTTCCTTTCATATAAGATCTCTTCATTTCCTTTCTAAATTACTGAGCACTTCTTTCTCAGGGCACAATTTCTGAAGCTCAGATATTTCTTGAATCTCATTGTTCTGAGCTCTGTCTTTGTTATTGGTAGAAGTCTTCCCGTAGCCTCAGTACCAGCTGCCACCAGGCTCATGTGATGTTCTTATTATTTATCTTTTCTGAGTGCCTTCCTCTATTCTTTCTGAACCCACAGAATTAATGGTTTGTGGTTGGGCTGGTTTGGGGTCCATACCCAGAAGTCCTACCCTGTTTGCTCAGAACTGTTTAGGTGATGCCTTCTTATCTAGTACTATAGGTAGTAGTGCCCTTTCTCGTGTGTAACCATGTCTAAGTGCAGAGGATGACTTCCATGTTTATTCTTCCTGTAAGATTATCTGCATGAAATGAGAAATTCCTCAACCTCTCTCCTCACAAAGAGCTTGAAAAGTGTGGGAGGACCCAAGATTTCTGACAATAGAACTATGTATTGGAAGTTGGTACCCACAACAAGTATGCATTGGCCTGGCTATTCTCAAAATACAGAGTGAAGGCAATAGTTTTCATCTCCCCTTTAAAAATTAGTTCTAGCTACAAATGTTATTAAAGACTTACTCAACTGATAATGACATAGCTGAACGTCATTTGCTTTTGTTGTTGTTATTGCTATGACTAAATACCTGACAATTTAAAGCAGGAAGAGTTCACTTTGGTTCCCAGTTTGAGGAGATGCAGCCGTCATGGAGGGAAAACTCAAGAGTATGCAGCTGATGTCTTTAAACAGGGGCCAGACAGGAAACAGAAATGGACTATGAAACCCCAAGGATGATCCCCCAGTTACCCATTTCCTCCAGCAAAGCTCCACCTCCAAAATGTTCCACAACCTTCCAAACATCACCAATTATTGAAACAGATGAACTCACAGGAGCATTTCACATCAAATGTGCTGGGACTTGGTTGTAAATTGATAAAATTACAGTAGTAGAGCAACTAACCCCTCACTGGTGGAAACACCTTCTCTTGGTAGAGAAAGAATAACAGATGCAGCTATGGCCACTTTGAAGCCATCCAATCTTTTCTCTCTTCATGAGAAAGAGAAGACCTGTACAAAGCATCCTCTAGGCTTAGCAGTGTAGCTACTTGGGCTGGACCATGAAATGCTCCAGGATGAGGCTCAGAGGAAGGAATCCCTTGACTTGACAGAGCTGGGAGCTTTGTCCTGTGACTCCAAAGCTGCAGTTGGCTCTTTGATAAAATTCCTCAACCTCTCTCCTCACAAAGAGCTCACTTCAAAGCCTGCCCAGCAATCCAGGGTAAAGCCTTGGGGGTGCAAGACCAGGACATAGAACAAAGAGGGTCCTCCTGGGTTATAGAATTGTGTGTTATAGAAATGTGTAACAGGCCCTATCCCA